GGTCCCTGGTGGCAACTGGAGGCCGTGCGCCGCGGGACCCCTGCCGGGTCGGCGTCGGGGCGCCCCCGGCCCGGGACCTGTTGAAGACGCTCGCTGTCTGGCGGGGTCCCCACGGCCTGTCCTCAGCCTCCTGAGTCTCAATCCCCCTAACTCGTCACCCGCTCTCAACGTCTCCTCGCGGTCATTTTCCTAATTGGACGGAGCTGAGCGGTGTGATCGTTGGCGTCAGATGAGGGGTCCCGAGGCTGCCAGGTGGGCGCGGGGGCCCGGGGACTGTCGGGGCAGCCCTGCCTTCCCACCCTGGGCGCGCAGATCCCACAATCCCAGCCCTCTGCCACCGCCCCCCCTAACCACGGACTTGCTAAGTAGTGCGTGTCGGGTTTTTTTTTTTCCAACTTGCCTTTTAAGATGACTTTTATGATCGCTGCCACTGCTTGCCTCCGGTCTGTGTAGTTTGGGAAGATTTAAGAGGCCAGGGAGGTGCTTGCGTGGATTTTAACTAACCCAAAACGGTCATTAATGTCTCTCTAAGCTCCACGATGGTTCCTGCAAAGCACAGTCAGAGCCTGGGTGCATTTTCTCAGGGACACTGCAAAGTGCTGGTCCTTCCCCATCTCAGCGGTCCAGTGAGGGACCATCCCCCTGACCCTCCCTGGAGCCGCGGGCCGGGAGCCCTAACTACTCAGGGCCCCTTCAGCGCCTTTATTTCTGTGCAAAATGGAAACTCTTAGCCGGCATCGACCTAGACGGGACACCAGTTCCAGTGGGCTCCTGGGAAATTTACAAAATTTTCCCACAGGTGTGAGGAGAAGGACTTGGCACCCTTGGGGGTCACCCAGTCAACTTTGAAGCAACTCTTTCAGCCCTGTCTTTGTGCACGTGTAAGTAAAACGTCAGAGTTCATTTCTGCCAAAGAGAGGGCCTGGGGGCCTGCATCCCTGTTTTGCCCTCACCAGGGGCCTTCAAAGGACCTGCTTGGCCAGGTGGGAGGGGAAGAAAACCACCCGGAATTGTCTCTAGACGTTAGAAAATGTATTCTTAGTGTTTGTGATCAAAGCCATCGGCCTGTCTGGTTTTGATTTTGGAGAATCAGTATGACTGTCCCTTTCTCATTTGTTTTAAAGTGAATGTTATTTTCTAGAGCTTTTCTGGTGGTTTCGTCAGCTGGCCCATAGACCATGTGTCACCTTGTGCCAGGTACCTGCCAGTCTTGGAACAGGACCTGTTAGTTGGTCAGCTATAGTTCCAGATGCATTAGTGCTCCAGTGAGCTGTGGGACCTGGCTTTCCTGGGTGATGACAGAGTGGTGGAGCTGCTCTCTTTTGGGTAGGGGGAGTTGGACATTTGGGTCACGTGTTCTTTCTTCCAGGTTCACTTGGTTGCCTGTGTGCCCATGGAGGGAGGTGCAGGGAGTTAAAGTGGGGGCAGAGGCTTGCTCTTCTCCTCATAGCAGATTCCTGGGTGAGTCCCTGCCCTGTGGTGTGTGGCCTGCAGGACATTGGTTCTATACTTGGGTCACTTCCATTCTGATCAGTGAGACTTAATTTTAAGCTTGCTGTCTAGAGACAAAGAGTCAGGCCAGATCTGGAATGGTTTTCGAGTTGATGGAAGAGAGACTAATGGGTCCACCCGAGATTTTGTACAACTTCTATCGGAGTTGTGCCTGGAAAGCTCAAGTTTGAAGTTAGAAGGGAGTAAAGAAGTAAAGAAGAACTTCGGTGTCTCTCAGAGTATGTCCTCCCCCGCCCCCGCTCCGGGGCTCCTCATCTGGCTTGTTTACTCACCCCCGCCCCCCATCCCAGAGCAGGGGTCGTTTTGTAGAAATAAGGGATCTGTGTGAATCTGTTCAGTCTCATGTTAATGGTGGTTGATCCCAGACCTTCCGGCTTCAAAGCTGGAAGAGGACCTTAGAGGTTGTCTAAAAGAAACAGAGGCATGGGACAAGCTCCGTGTCTGGGGTCCCACAGCAAGTGGCAGAGTCAGCCCTGGAACCTGAGCTTTCAGAGTCCATTCCCAGTGCTCTTGCCATACGGCCGCTGCCTCTATTCCAGCTGGGAAGCCCGAATCAAGCTCTGGCCAAGGAACGTGGTTGTGAGAACATGAAACCATGGGCTTATGCTACGTGCCGGAGACAGGTAAATGGAGCGCCTTAGTTTTCAGCAGTGTTACACAAACTGTCCTAGAGGATTTGACGGGCCGGTGTGACTGCTAGGGGGACTGGGTGCTTCTGGTCCTTTTAACATGGACTTCTTCACAGTCCACCTGTTCAGTGGGCCAGCACTTAGTTGTCGGGGCGTTCCCAAGTCACACTTAGCCCTTTTGATCTGGAATACTTTCTTCATGCTTTGCACTCGTGATTTATTTAGGAGTGGTCTGGGGAGACGATGGGATGTAATAAGGACCAGAGACCTGAATTGACCTCTCTTTGTGGATTAGATCTCCTCCTACAATGTCAGCTCTTTCTTTGTTCATGGCTAAGCCCCTGTGCCTAGAACAGGGCCTGGCACATAGAGGGCCCTCGATAAATTCTTATTGAATACATATTCTGGACATTAGGAAAAAGATTTTCCTCCCAGAAACAACCCACGTATGATACAAGGAGGCAGAGACAGCGAGGTGATTGATGGGAGCTGCAGAGTTTTGCAGTGAGTCATTGCTTCAAACAAGCTCCCAACAGGTAAGCCAGGAGGGGCTGGAAGAGTAAACCCCGAATAGGGTGGAGCCACTGGGTGGAGACTTGTGCAAAACAATAGGGCGGTCTCAAATTGGACTGAATATGAGAAGAAGAAGAAGAATCATATATCTTGGGTCAGGCTTGGCTAAGTGCTTTATGAACGTCACCTCCCTTAGTCCTCACAGGTGCTAGCTGCTGCTATGTTGTTATTCCCATTTGGCAGATTGGGAAACCGGAGCATAGGGAGTTAAGTAACTCATCCAGGGGCACAGAGCTGGGATCTGAACCCAGACAGATGGACATCAAACTTTGCTTCCCTAGCATGACGTTGAGGAGCTGTGCACTCTGGGCTTCATCGAAAGGATGGCAGCAGGGAAACTGGAAAAGCAATTGTTGGTCTGCAGGGGAGGGAGGCTGGTCAGGGAGGGTGCCCTCTGCTTCCTTTGCCAGGTTTCTCACAGTACCCAAAGACCATTTACCCAATGAAGGCTTTAAGGGGATGCTTATTTGGGGGAGCTTACCTGTTCCCCAAGCAGAGTGGCTAGGACCAGATCGGGACTATTTTGCACTTGATAAAGATTTAGGAGATCCGGGTTTTTTTTGTTGTTTTTCTTAAGTATGCTTTTTAACTTAAATTATGGTTGGCATGTAATTGAAAGCGGTAGTGATTTTAAAGCTCGATGTTGTCCTTGAGGCCTCCAGAAAGTGTTTTCCTGTGTGTATAAACCTTACCTTCCTATTCCAGGATGCTGGTCCAGACCACACAATACTACCCTTTTATTGACAGTGTGTGATTTACCAGTTGCTGAGCTAGTCCCGTCCTCGTGGAGCTTGCAGTCTCCCTGGGAGACAGACATTAATAATCACACAAATACTCTTTAATTACAGTTGTTACAGATGCTTCAAAGGAAAAAATACAGAGGCCAAGGGAGATGATGATCAGAGAGGACAGGGAAGGGAGGTGTTCCCGAAGAAAGGGCATTTAAACAGCTACATGAAGCGTGGGTGACGAGGCTTAAACCAGGGTGGGGACAGTCCATGAACCTTGATGTAAACCTTTGTCACCCTGTGTGATCCGAACAGCAGCATTATCACCGTGCTCTGGGAGCTTCTTAGAAATGCAGATTCTCAGGCCCCTTGGTAGACCTGCTGAGTCTGCATTTGAACAGGATTCAGGCGCAGGGTAAAGCCTGAGAAATGCTGATGGAATCAAAGTACTGAACTGGGAGGTTCTTGGCTTTGCTGGGAATGAGTTGGGTGACAGGGTAACCAGAGAATTAGATCAACCCACAAGTTCCTTCTGGCTTCTCTGATCTTTGGTTTTTGCTGCTTTGTGCAGCCTCCAAATTTACTGAGGCCCTGGGCTTTCTTACCCAGCATCCACCTCGGAGGTGCCACCTCTAGTCCATGCTCTGGGATGACTTCGGGAAGCGCTGAAGAGGAGCCAGAGCATCAGAGCTTTGGGGAAGGATCAGAATAATTCACAAAAAAACGTGTGGAATTTTGTTGCACACAGAGAGATTGTGTTAAGGCAACCCAGGAGGATTTGGTCTGAAGAGAGAAGAAAACTGGCCAGGGTCAAGGGGGCCTTGGGGAAGAAAGGTATATAACATTTCTGTCAAAAGTAGAACCGAAAACAAGGGCGGGAGGTGGCGCCTGCTCAGCAGTTCCATGCATGTGAACATAATACTTAAAGAATTGCCAACGGAGTTTCGTCCCTGAGATCCTCACACCAGTCACTGTAGAAAGGACTCGAGGGCTGAAACCAGGGGTCCTTGAGCCCTGCAATATGTGTGTGGGCTTCAGTGGCACTTGCAGCTGTGCAGGGGTTAGGTGTGTGTGTACTTTTCTGAGAAGACCCACAGCTTTTGCCAGCCTCACCAGCCTTCCAGAACTAGGGGCCAGTGCTTTTCTTGATTAATCTCCCCCAGCTCTTTTATCATACAGCATGTACTGTGTGCCAGGCACTATTTTAAGCACTTTCCCTCTATTAGCTCATTTACATTGAGTAACTTTCTAGAAGTCATACACATAGTAAGCATCAGAACCAGGATGGCACCCAGGCAGTCAGGCCCCAGGGTCCCTGCTGTCAGAGCCTATGTTAGTAACAGGGCAGGTGGGCCCAGGGGGAAGCACTTTTGGATAGAACAGAAATTGAAATTACAGAGACCCCCACTTGATGCAAGCGTCTCCCAATGGTTCGTGTGTAAAACAGAAAGGATTTTCCCAAGGAAACATGGTATGAATAGCACCAAGTTGTCAGGGTAGCCCGTGAGAGCCTGTGTCACTATTGGGCCCAACTCACGCTTGTTTGCAAAGAAAAAAAAATAAATGAAGAAACAAGACTGCTGCAGTTCTGCAAGTGAAATTAAAAATTCTACAATTGGTTAGAACAGCGGTTCTCAACCTTCCTAATGCCGCGACCCCTTAATACGGTTCCTCATGTTGTGGTGACCCCCCAAACCATAAAATTATTTTCATTGCTATGCTATAACTGTAATTTTGCTACTGTTATGAATCATCATGTAAATATCTTTTTGTTTTCCGATGGTCTTAGGCGACCCCTGTGAAAGGGTCGTTTGACCCCCAAAGCGGTCGCGACCCACAGGTTGAGAACCGCTGGGTTAGAAGGTGCTTGAAGAATTACACTGCCAAATAAGGGGGGGTGGGGGGTGAGGGGGTGAAGTGGTAGGAGGAAATTGGGGTAGATTCTGAGAAGGGATTAAAGAAGGTTAGAGTCCAAAGCAGAGCCAAATGTATGTCGAATCAGCAGCTTCGAAAAGTAAAATAACTGGTTTTTATTACTTACTAATTAATGTGTGTAGCTCACAGACCTGACCCTTCCCCCATCCCTAGTGCCTTACCCCAAGTACAGAGGCCTTTTGTCTTCTCTTTTATTCATTTCTGTGCTATTTGAATTTTTATCAGTATGTATTATCTTTAAAATCTATATATTTTTAAATGGAGTGAAAGGACTATTAGAAGTGGGTTGACCTCTGAAACGGGGTTAGTTCTGCCTTCTGCTACCATCATCCTAAAGGAGTTTCTGATATTAAATATATATGCTCTATTGTGTGTGTGTGTGTGGGGGGGGAATACTGAGAAAACTATTGGAAATGTGAGGATTTTCAGTGCAGTCGGAAGCTGAGAATAAGGGATCACATTGCCGCCCGACTGCCTTCACTTTCTTCCTTCCCTCCCCCACAG